TAGAATGCCACTATCTCAGAAGTAAGCCTGAGAACAAAAAGATTTCAGAAATTCCAATGATAACCAGCAGGATCCACTGGTGACGAATCAGTCAACATATCCAGGAATGACTCGAAACATTGAGGTCACTGCAACTCGATATATATATATATATATATATATATATATATCAGATCAATCCATAGTAGGTAATTCTTTATTTTTTCATATAATGCACTCTCATTGCTCACTCCTATGAGAACAGGTTCATTTTTTATTTTATTTTTTTTGAGAAAGTTAACTTGTATTGAGATACAGGGAGTACAAAAATGGCACCCCAAGAAGAGCGCACTATACAACGATACAGTGCAGCCCACTAAGCAAAAAAATATGGGCTAGTAACAATGAAGGTCATATGTATACACAACAATTACAAGAGATGTGTTGCGTCATGGATGCTACTGAAATGGGTGCGCTAGGAAGATCAGTCATCAGTTTAATGAGGCTCCTGTTCTGGCTAGATGATCAGCTTCGGAGTTAGCTTCCCTCAAGATGTGTCTCCAAGAGACATTCAAGTTACCACAGACGTGGTGGATTTGGTCAAAAATGTGAAGAAGTCTCTATGGACATATTGAAGAGTTGGTCACCTAGGAGATAACATTCCTGGAATCACCTTCAGTAACCAAATTTGGCCCCCAATCGTGGTTAAAGTGCTTGACTCTCTCTAGTAGTGCTAGTGATTCAGCTGTGGTGGAATCAGTTTGGCCAATTGGGATGCGGAAGGAGTAAAGAGTCTCACCTAAATAGTTTCTGAAGAGTCCTCCTATGCCTGCGGGGCCTGGGTTGCCCAGGGAGCTGCCGTCAAAGTTCAATTTGGAGTGCCCAACCTCAGGCGGCCTCCAGAGAGATGCCCTTGGGATTCTAGGTGGCCGCAGAAGATAACCCATGAGAGTATGCAGTAGCTCTCTGTTGGAGTGGATCTAGCGACTGAGGCTTTCCAAAGGAGGATCCCTGATTTGAACCAGCGGTGGGGGTGGAGAGAGGTAAAAATATGGGGTACTGAGGGAGGGGTCACCCACTTCCATTGAAAGAGCCTAATAATGACTTCCCACAGTTCATGTGGGATTGCGCATTGTAGGAAGAGGTGATCATTGCAAAGTGAGAACAGGTTCATATTTGCATCATCTTGAGTGTTTTTCACATTTTTCTAGTCTATTCATTTGCCCTTGGTTATTCAGTAACATACGTTGATTCTTGTCATGTACTTGCAAGTGCTCTATGCTTGCCATAAACTCATAATTATGTGCCAACAGTTCATGTGTAATTGCACAGTGTAGGAAGAGGTGATCATTGCAAAGTAAGAACAGGTTCATATTTTGCATCATGGTGAGTGTTTTTCACATTTTTCTAGTCCATCCATTTGCCCCTGGTTATTCAGTAACATATGTTGATTCTTGTCGTGTACTTGCAAGTGCTCCATGCTTTTCCATAAACTCATAATTATGTGCCAACCGGAACAACTCCTATATCTGCCACAATGATTTGGACTATGCCTCAATCCTCAGATCTGATGCAAGAGGCAAACATTATGTGTTGCATTTAGCCAGAAAACTAGACGGGGATGAACATGACATATTCTACAGATTGAGTTTCTAACAAATCACGGAAAGTCATAAGCACATTTTTACATTCTTTCTATATTCGATGGAGTCCAACTCCTTACAAGTTGAGCAGAACAACCCACACTCTGTGCATTTGATTTCTTTCTTTTTTTCCTTTTTTCTTTTTTGTTTTTGGACATATCCTAAGCACTTAATTTCTTGGCAACAAAGACAATCAACGTGTTCATCAAATGGATTGCATGGATGTCGTGAGGTCATAATGAACCAAAGTCTTTCATTTCCTAAAAGCCCTAAGGGCAGAACTGTCATTAGTAAATCAGGTACTCTTTCCCAAATCATATGGCCAGGGAACATTCTTTGACCTTTTGAGTTTTGACAGCCATTATCATGTAGAGCCCAAATCCACAGCATGTTCACCACAAAATTTTACAGCAGCGGTGCACCTGTACATGCTCCTGCACAAAAATTGAATATATGCCCTCTTTGGGATTTGGCATTGGCTTACGAGGGGGGAGAAAAGGCGATCATACTTTTGTTCAAAACAAAACCAAATTACCATTGAATGGGGTTAAACAGACAAGACATCAATGGAATATCACAAACCTCATGAAACAGATCGTAGTCACTAGTCAATTACTGGATCATGTTTCACCACAGCCTAAAGGCAGCAAACATAGATCCCAATTCTGAGCAGGCCAGGAACCATTGTTGCTTGGGGATAATCTCCAAATACTTTGACATTTCCCATGTACCATGCTCATTACTTTATATGTTTACTATGTAACCAAATGATAGCAGCAATCAATCCCACTGACAAAGCACATTGTTTCCTTACCAAGACATAGGACCATCTCAAAACAGCCGACACTGTATCGGCCATTTCCATCAATTAAAAAGACCCCAAATGGAAAAGAGCCAGGTGCCGGCAATAGATCCTAAAAAGGAGCACATGAACTCAAGGACACTGCCTATTGCAAGACAGTCCATCCAAGATAACACATCAATATTTACATTTAATAATGAACAAGGCAGTATAATCAGATATTCATTGTTGCAAACATGTGACATACAGTGGACAACTTAGCATCAACGATATTTGGCCAACGTTCCTTGATCATGCAAAATTCATCATAGCAATCTGTCATGCCATCTATATATGTAAGGGAGAAGGATAGAGCACGAACTTTGAATTACAAGCCCCATCTCCTTTTGCCTCCCATTTTCCTAGAATCTCTCTCTGGATGCATCTAAATAGGTCTACTGACAGTTAGCCATAAAAAAGTCATATCTATCTCCAATTAAATTCTGTCTCATTTATTATCTAAAATTTGTCTTCAATAGAAAAACTATATTTAAAGAATTGGAATGATATAAATAAATAGAAAAAAAAAAAACCTAAAAACATTTTAAAAAGTTTTATCTATGAGTAGTTAAAAAAGGAGCTCTTACCAGAATAGGAACTCTAACCAAAATAACTTACCAGAATAGGAACTCGAATCAAACTAACTAGTAACTACATACATTTGTCAACAAAATAAGTATCTATTTTAGAAAAAACAACATATAAAATAGGAATTCAAGAAATACTGCGAAAGATAAAAAATTAAACAAACATAAATATGAGAAATTAGTTATTACATAAATAATATCAAATGAAAGTAAAAACAAACTGCAAAAAAATAATCCATTGAAGTTTAATTTATTCTACTAAAATATAATAATAGTTAGCTAAACAATGTGAAGCCCAACTTCACTTAAAATTTGTCTCATTTATTATGAAAAGTCATTTTTTAATAAAATAAAATAGAGCGAAGAAGTTGGAACGAAAGCAAAAAAAAATTGGAAATTGCAACTCAACACTATTTAGAAAAAACTATCTACCAAAAGTTAAGAAAAGCATTTCCTACCTAAATAGGAAATCCCATCAAAATAACTTGAGAGCTTTTCCTCTACAAGATATAGGTATCCATGTTCAAAAAAATATAAATGATTGGAATCTATTATTATTTACATTAGAATATACAAATAAAAAATTTCAAAAAAAATTATTGGTATTTACATTAGAATGAATATTTTAAATTGTTGTTACTCAGCAATTATCCTCTAGGTAAACCAAATGTTGGGCAGTCAAGAAACACATTTCCATAGAATGAGCGTGGTCGAGATGAGGATGTTGAGATGGATGAAAGGCAAGACAAGAACTGATAGAATTTGAAATTAATACATCCGAGAGAACTAAGGGATAGCTCCAAGAGGCAATAAGATGAAGGGAAAGTAGACTTAAGTGGTCTGACCATGTGCAGCATCAACCTATAACAGCACCGGTTAATAGGGTAACTTGGTACAAGTAGAAGGCTCTAAAAGAGCAAGGGATATGCCCAAAAAGACATAAATAGAAGTAGTGAGAAGAGATATGGTGACTTATGATCTAACTGAGGATATGACCTTGATAAAGCGAAATGGCGGAACATGATTTGTTAGCCGATGCCAAATTGTTTTGATAAGGCTCGGATGATGATGATGATGATTTTCCTCAAAAATTAGCTAGTTGTGTCTAACCAGTAATCGTCACATCCAACGCAAGCAACCCTATTCACAAAGTAGTTCAATTCAGGTAACATATCATATTTGCCAAAGCATTCCTGACCAAACAAAGCTACTCATGAACTAGAGTCAAGTATGTTAATCGGATTATGATTGCATTAGATCACTAGGTGTGCCATAAATGGTTGGACTAACATATTCAAGATTCATCGTCATCATTTTAGCCTTTTCCAATTAATTGTACTGATATATTTAAAATTATATTCTTTAAAAGTATTTTAAATACCAAATAACTTCTACGAACTTCAAACTACCAATCCAATATCCTTCTACGCACTTAAAGACTCAACAATCCCATGAAAGGGATGGAATTCTCAAAGAGTACTTATTGAGAAGATACAACAAATAACAAGCAAACATCTTTCTTTATTAAAATGTATAAGAGACAAGTGCACCTATAAATAACATGGAATCACATGAATAAAAGAGTACTTATCAACTAAAGAAAACCAGAAGATCAGCATAAAGAAAGGAGTACCATAAACAACAGAGCAAACATTTTGCTCTACAAAGAAACTCCAACACAACCTTATAATATAACTCAATAAAATGTCATCACTCTCTAGCTGAAACTGCCTAAGAAAATCAACATTTCCTCATCCAATGAATCAGTACACAACATTGAACCAAACAATTATCATGAAATTCGAACAATTAACACCAAAGGAAACCACCCACAGAGAGCAGTTACAGATTCAGCATAATATGAAAGGAAAAAAAAGGCACAATTACGCAGACATTACTAAAAGAAGCAATAAACATTGACACATGAAGCTCAGAGAATTTCCCTCATACCTGAAAATGAGAGCTATTAAGGCAGCGCCCTATTTGCCTGAAAAGTGGAACCATGCATCGCTGAAATTCTGCAGATTGGGTTGCCTCCAAAACTTCCTCCAACTCACCCAAGAAAAGAACCTCCTTCTGACAATTTGTCACCGGCCAGAACTTCAGCAATCCCCTGATTACAGTATCAGCTAACTTGTAATCTTTCTCAACAAATTGGGTAATGCAATAGGACAATTGCTGATGATAAAGAGCCACTGACTTAGGCTTGTGGAGAGGGATAAGGGCCCGAACAAGGAACAGCTTATGCTCCTCTTTCATGGGCAACGCAAACCCATTTATTATGCTTCCAAGAATCTCCAAAAGCTCACCTATTCCACAGTGCCTCTCAGTCTCGAAAATAAATCGGAAAAATATATTATTGATTGCTTTTCGAATGAAGGGGCGGTGCACCATGAACTTTCCATAAATGCGATGCAATATGGTCTTCAAATGCTCCCTCTCTCGAGGATCCTCAGAGTCAAAAATATCGAGTAGTCTCAAAACAAATGAGTGATCGATATACCTCTTTGCAATCTTTGTATCAGTATCTGATGAGACAACATACCGAAGGAGTAGATCATAGACCAATTGCAAGTGTGGCCAAGCAGGATCAATATATGGGTCCTCTTCATCTGGGTCAGTGTTTTCATTTCCTGTGTTTTCATGAGAAGCAGGGGGCAAGCATCGAAAGATATTGATTGAGACCATTCTTATCAGTTCTTCTTGAACGTTCTCAGTGATTCTTCCTGATCCAGATTGTATGAAATCAATCAGCTCGAGCAAAGTTTGCCTCTTTGCTTCTTTCTCTCTCACTGACTTCAGAGTATCAGAGAAATCAAACAATATGCAACAAATCTGAAGCTTCCGAATGAACAAGACCTGGCGTTCACTAACTGGTACATCTCGAAAGAGGGGCAATGGCTCGATGACCCCAACTGTGCCATTATGAACCAGACCCCTATCAATTCCACCACCTGCTTGCCCCCCAATTTGTGGATTACCACCTAACCTTGGAACATTATTAGCAGATGAAGAGACATTGCTAGGGTTCGAAACTGACCCAGAGTTACGAAAATTCGATGAATTTCCTGAAGGCCTGCCTACTCTCTCAGAGGAGGCAAAAGAGAACACTGCTGGTTCAATTGGGTCTGATTTCGGAGGCAGCTTGCGATGTGTTCGCCTTCCTATGATCTTGTTCAACATCCCTAATTCAGGATGTTAACCTTTCTCTTCTCCAACTTTCAGGCTCTTTGATCACAGATTACACAGACAAAACCCTAGAATCCAGAAACCCCGTGAAATGTGAAACCCTATATAGTCCATTCATCTTTTAGAACCCAATGAAAGCGCTGAGAGCCTCTAACCTCAAAGCCCTAACTCACAGAAGGAAAAGGAAATATGAACAATTAAATTCGAGCAAAATTTAACGATCTCAATAGCTTCTACTTTCTAAATAACCTAACCTCCATGGATCCAACACACAAAACAAAGCATTTCAAACAAAATTGAGAGAGAGAGAGAGAGGTACGAATGCCGGAGAGAACCATCACGAAGCTCAGCCTCAGAAAAGACAAAGCCCGGAACCATCCGTGAGAACTGGCCAACAAAAAAAAAAACATCTAGTTTTCAAAACATTGAAATGGTTCTAGAGAGATAAAATGGCGTACAAGTGAAGAAGATCAGAAACTTATGGATTCAAATCGAAACTCACCGGGCCAGAAAGCGAAACCGCGCTGTACTTCGGGGTAATCCACATGCCCGTTTCTCTAAGATGGGAAAAGAGAGAGAGAGAGATACAGAGACAGAGAGAAGGGTTTCAGAGGAGAATTGAGCAGAACAAGGACGACAGAGGAACGAAACCAGATGAGAGAAGAGTGAGACCAGGGGACCCAACAAAAACTTCGTCCATGAAGAGAGAGAGACTAGGCTCGAACCGTGAATATAAAGAGAGAGAAAGAGTTATTAGTCGAATATGGAGAATGGAAAGAGACAGTGAGTGAGAGAGAGATAATTATTACTTGAATTTTGAGCGTAAAGAGAGGGACAGGGGATGATTATTCCTCGAATTTTAGAAAAATACATTACAGTTTTGTGGATATTGAGAGTAGAACGAACGGATTATATTCCAACTTTGAGCAATATTATGAGCTATCGAACGCGAGTCGTATAAAAAAATAAAGCGATGCCCTGTTTTGGCATTACTATTTGGGTGCAGTTGGCATAAAGTGCACCTTCAAATTTTATCATGATATATAATTATGATGTAAAATGTTATTAGGATTATCTCAAAAACCATTTTTATATCTAATTATAAAATTTTCAATTTAAAAAATGGTTAAAATTAAGTAGACCTATAAAAAAATGAAAATCTTGAAAATTGACGGTGTGGATAATTTGTTGTAAAATGCACCAATACTTATAATCTTTTTATCTTTCATGGTCATACATCTCGACAAGTAAAATGCAATATTTATGAGACTTAAAGTCTTTTTATCTTTCACGGTCATACATCTCGATGTCGAGATGATCAATCAAAGTGTTTTTCAACATTCAAACTACCTTTTCCAATAGATTTTTTAGGTGCATCCGTAGTTCTATATATGAGGTTGCAACCTTATATAAACTTTTTCCTTACCCTTTTCAATTCATGTATTTAGAATTTTAAACTTCTGGTTTCTTAAAAGGAAAATTGTCTCATGCGGGCTAGACCGCATTTCTACAATATGCAGTCCAAAGGTATAGAGCATTCATCTTATAGATGAATGCAAGTAGATAGTCCATCTAAAAACAAGTGTGACCAACGGTCCAAATGTTTTTTTAATATAATAATTATTTATATTTTTCCAAAAAAAAATCATATTTATGATTTCTACGTTAAAGATTATATATTTTCTAAATATTAAGATAAAATTATATTTAAAAAATATATTTATTGCCAAACTCACATTTCCACTAATATATGAGCTGGTCGCATAGAAACCGTATTCTTCTTAAAATAGGATGTACGTGCATAATAACTTGAGCCTTTTTTCTTTTTTTTTGTGGGGCCACTTATGGGGGTTAGACGATAAATTTGAGATAATTTTACATTACATGATTTTGGGATTTACTCTAGAATTACTTGATGTGTATTTTCCATCAAATTATTTGGATTTTGAGCTCCTAAACATTTAGATCTAAATTAGATGATCTCTATTCAACCTTAATCTATTATTCTTTCGACCTCAAATAAAGTGCATTTAAATTTTAGAGTAATTTATACATTATCGTCATCACATCATCAAAGTTTTTCTCCAATTATTTAGGGTTGGCTACGCGAACCTTGGTCTGCTATTCTGCACTATCATAAGATGTAATTTTGGTGTAAAACGTTTTTAGGATTATTTGAAAATCAATTTTCATATCCAATTATAAGATTTTAAACTTCACAAATAGTTAAAATCAAGTAAATCTATAAACATATAAAAATCCTGAAAATGGACGGTCTAGATAATGTGTTGCAATATGCACTATTTATGGGACTCAAAATATTTTATTTTTTTATATTTATACATCTCGATATCGAGATAATCAATTAGAGGGAGGAAAAACATTAAAACAGTATTTTTCAATTGATTTTTTTAGGTGCATCTATAATTCTACACTCTAAACAATCAAAGTAAGATGTACCACTGAATCATGCTTAAAGATGCCCTAAAAAACCATTTTCAGTCAAACTATAAAGTTTAAAGCTAAAAAATTATACAAATTGAGCATATCTATAAACACTTAAAAAACTTGAAAATGGAAGATCTAGATAATGCATTATATGGTGCACTACTTACATAACTTGAAATTGTTATTTTCCTATATTCATACATCTTGAGGTTGAGATAATTACTCAGCATCAAATAAACGTTTTTAGCATATTTTTTAGGTATGGCTTACTATTTACGCTTTTATATATACTTTTTTGCTAGTAGGATGTATTATTATTATTTTTGTTGTTGAATATGCACATGAAAGGACTGTAACTCCCACTGCACTTAAAAATCATAAAAGGCACTAAAAAATCCACACCGAGGCATCAATGGCATCTCCACCCAAATACATTGTATTTAAATGACATTTTATTGTGTATAATAAAAAGCAGTATTTCAGCACCAACCATGTCGGTATTCACCTAACACTCCTTGTTGCCAATATATTGTTAAGCCAAACGATATTATGCACCGGCAGGAGGAGAATTTCCATTTACTTCCTTGAGTAAAAGCCACCTATAATTAATTTTCTGACCCCAAATTTTGGAGATGTAACCTCTTCATCTAAATTAAAATTTTTTGATTGTACCCTCTATGCACTTGAAAAAACAATGCCTCGAGATTGAATAGAGACCATCCAAATTTCAAATTGTGAGATCTAAGAGCTAGAAAATTTTAATTTTAATTTTTTTAAGGAAAAAGTTTATACAAGGTTGCAACCTTAAGATGTGGATGCACCTGAAAAATCCATCAAAAAAAGTTGTTTTGATGTTGGAAAACCCTTTAATCAATCATCTCGACATCGAAATATGACTAAAAAAAAGAAAGATTGAGTCTTGCATCTTACAACACATTATCTTGTCCGTCTATTTTTAATATTTTCATATATTTGTAGATCTATTTGATTTTAACCATTTTTAGAGTTCAAAGTTTTATAATTAGATATGAAAAATAGATTTCCAGATAATCCTATGAATTTTTAACACCAAAATTACATGCTATCATAAAATTTGGAGGTGCGCCTTAAGTGGAATGTTTAAGGTTTCAACCTCATAGAAACCACACCTTTTTTAAAAAAGATTAATAATCTAGTAATTCTTAAGTGGTTCCAAATAAATTAGAAAACCATGTTTGTAGCAACTGTATCACCCAAAAAATTGCACATACTCTCTTCATCCCTATAGTCAATTTAAAAATGGAATAAAATTCAATTTGCATCACATACATGGTAAAAATGAGTCCCCTCCAACATTGAATATAGACTGTACATTTTATAAATTTAAAGATCTAGGCTTTTATGAACTCAAAACCTTTTTTTTTTGTTTGCAACATCTAATAATAATAAAGCTATCCAAAAATTTTGAAAAGAGAAAAATCCTTTTAAGATTGAGATCTAAGCATCTTAACAAGGGAAAGTTTTCTATACTTCCCATACAGCATAGAAGATCTATGCTTCCCCTACCTTCCAGCCGTCCAATTTTGATCAAGAGAGTCATTCACCGTTTGATCTTAGATCTGATGTCTCAAAGTATTTTATTTTTAGTTTTTTTTTATACAAGTTGTATGAATGTGAAATTTGGTACGTGTCATCTTCTCATTGGGGTACACCTATAAAAAATATCAAAAATAATTTTTCAATAAAATATAATGACCGAAATACCCCTTACATATTTAGGGGTATTTTGGTCATTTTATTTTATTTAAAATATTTTTTTTTATATTTTTCTCTAGTGCGAGTTTAATATAGGATTAAACATACAAAATTTGGTGTCAAAATAATTTATAGAAAAAAATAAAAATAAAATAGTATAGAGATGTGACATTGTGATTGGGGCATTCTTAGCCTTCGATTTAGAATAGATGGTTGGGTAAGGGAAAATATATAAGTTTTATGTTGTAGGGAAAGCTTGGATGGCTTATATTGTTTGAGCTAAAATAACACTTTTTAGAGTTTCTTTTTCTTTCTTTTTTTTTTTTTTTGGTGATTGTTCAATGGAATGAAAATAGTTTAAAATTTGGGATCAAACAAATAGCACTAATATATTACTATACAACTGTTGCATGAAATCATTTCTCATACTTATGTTTATTGTTAAACTACGAAGTTGATATTAGTTCAGGTTTGGTACAAAAAAGATGGAGAAAAAAAAATGGAAGAGGTTAAAATAAGCTAAGGTTTTATAGAAAACTAAAAAGAAAATCCATATCCCTTATTTTTAGGTTTAATTTATTGATAAACCCAAGGTTTGAAAACATATCTTCTAATCCCTGGTCACTTTAAACCTATTTTTTAACTTAAACAAATGTGATAAATATATGATTTTTCTAAGCTCAATCCTTTATCTCTATTCACTTGTATACCCCAAACTTATATCTTTATCTCTCTTCTATCATTCTCTCTCCTCCCGTGTTTATCTAAACACCTCTCTCTCCTCCTGGTAACCTCTAGCTTTCATGAAGCCCTTATCTCCCTTTAAAAGTTTGGGATGATGGCTTTTGGAAAATGCATTTTTAAAAAAAATTGTTTGGCATGAAAAAACAATGTTTAAATTAGTTCGGGGGTGAGAAAAAATAAATTTACAATTTTTATGCCCTGAGATATCTTTTAAAACCTTCAATCTATTGTGAAATTAAACCTAACAACATGAGGTATGGAGACATTTTTCCCAAAAAAAATGCATTTCCTTAAAAACTCACTACAGTTATAGTATTAGAAAACCTTCAAATTGATCATCTCCACCTCATAATTACAGTAGAGAAAAAAAAATAGAATTTCAAGCCTTAGAAATCATGTATATTATTGTAGATTATCTACACGCGGTTCATAGATCCACAAGAAGCACAGGGGGCATGATAATAAACTTCTCAATAGAACAATTGTCGTACCAGGTTTCAAAATATGCAAATGATTGTGCATGCATTACTGCATGCTCTCTCTCTCTCTCTCTCTCTCTCTCTCTCTCTCTACTCTACTCTACTACTACTACTACTACTACTACTACTACTACTACGTACTACGTACTACGTACTACGTACTACGTACGTACGTACTACGTACGTACTACGTACTACGTACTA